TTTCGGTGAGCCAACCGGTCTGAAACATAACATGTATGAGTTTTCACATATTTTGTCACCCAAAATGTTTTTGCTTCATTCTTTATAGCTGCTCTAACTCTCCATTGGCATCCTTTCACAACACATTTAGCCACAAACAGACGTTTCGATGACTTATCGGCTCTGAATGTGAATTTTAACATAAGCGCCATCAATCTTATCTCTGATATCAGCTCATCCTTGCCAGCAAAACTTGTGTTGACTTTAATTTTTTCAATCCAGGTTTTTTCATATTCTTTGTTGAGAAACCAAAACATCATCATCAATCCACTCACCCTCTCAATCTTAATCTGAATCCTCATCCTTCACACTTTCCCATATTGGCTGTAGTCCTCATCTATGTAGCCTCCTCCTCTTTGACTTGTTCGACTTTGATTTCGTCGTTGATTTCATCAGCACCCCTATCAGCATCTTCGTCCTCACATTCTTCTGCAGTTTCATTTCCATCGTTATCTGCATCTTCATCAGGACCGCCATCACGACCACCCACATGATCATTACTTCCAATATCCATATCAAAACATGTCGATACACAAAGACGTATAGCATGGATCCTCTCAACTCAATCAAGCTCTGATCTTGTATATCATTTGTGATATGCATAGGAGGGCTATCTGGAACCATTTTTGTAACATTGAATCCGGTAATGAATAAGTGATTGCGACCAAGTCAGTTTTCTTGTCGAGCATATAATCATCTTGAGCCATAGCCATGAGTTCTCCATGTGTACAACCATCATTCAAGAAGAACATCCTCCCTCTTTTGCAAATATCCACCACAAAATGCCACGACTGAGCAGCCATAACCATTCTCTAAATACAACAGGCAACTGAGTTAGCATCTGCAAAAAGAAATTAAACTCTATTAGAAACCGTGTTATGAAAATAAATTGCAGGTAGACTTCTTTAGAAGTCTGCAGAAATCCGTTAAAAGCTTAATCAAACAACAAAACTCATTTCTTTGTAATTATAATACATAACCATGTCAAACTCATACAGATGCAACACAATAAACCAATAAACATGTTAAAACAAGAAAATCATTTTTAACAACAACAAATATGCCAAAACTGAATTTTTAACAAAATTAATTAAGCAAACTTTGTATGCAGTCTGCTTAGATGTGCTTATACGTAATATGACGCAGACTGCACATGAAGTCTGCTTAGATATACTAAATACCTTTTAAAACAAGAAGTTCATAACTTTATAATTATAACACAGAAACACACCACTCATACAGATGCAAGAACAATACCTAACATGCAAGTAAGAATAATAAAAATTTTAAAAAGCATTACAAATATTTTATAAAATGAATTTAAACAAAAAAAAATTCAGACATCCGATCGAAGTCTGCCGGGAAAATTTCACGTCAAAGTCTTTTAAAAAAAAAGGGTAATTTTTGCAATTGACTAAACGTTTGACTTCTTAATAGCATACTTCATTTTGAAGTCTACAAAGTAAACAGGTTAGACCAAAAGTTTGAATTTTTAAGTAGCTTCCCAAGAACGCTGCGGACGAGTAAAAAAATCTACTATGATAACAAAGTGTATTGATGAAGTCTACTCTACAACAAAGTCTACTCCATGTTATTTTGTAATTGACCAAAAGGTTGACTTTATAAACAATAAAGTATGCGCATCTATATGAAGTCTGCTTATCGGTCAGATTTGCCATTGACCAAATCTTAATTAAATTAATTGTATGCTAATATTTTTTTTATATTGCAGACTTATGTGGAAGTCTGACATAAAAGTCAAAAGAAGTCAAAATGTTGGTCAGTTGCAAAAATAATCTTTCGAGTCAAACAACAAAATCTCAGACTTCTAAAGATGTCTGCAATAAAAGTTAAAGTTCGACAAAAACTTTTCTCAAATGCAAAAATAACATTGCTTTTACACAGACGGCATTTGAAATCTACATGATTTTTTTTTCAAAGGACAATTCTCAAACATCCAAAGAAGTCTAAGTTCAAAAATATCAAAAATTAGTCAATTGCAAATCTAACTTATGCGTTGACTACCAGACATTAAATGAAGTCTACATTCATGAAACAGAGCTAAATGTTAAAGAAAATGAAGTAGATGTTTACCTACTTCCAGTTTGAACTCGATTAACTTCGACAAACGCCCAGAATTTTGTATTGCACCGATAGCAAACTAGTTAAGTCATTGTTATGCAAGAATCACCAAAATTTGATGACCCATGAAATTGGAACTTATGAAAACGAAAATGAAAGAGTTTTAAGATGAAATTGGAGACAAATTTGGAGAGAAAATGAAGTTATGAGTGACACAACAGGCATCTGGAGCTTCAAATTTGGTTGGGAAAGCATTTAGAGCTTGAAATTGCTTGGTAATGGTGGTTGGCAAATTGAAGAAGATAAAAATTTTGTGAATAAGTGATATATTCTAGGATGGTTGTGTTTTTTTGGTATTTTTTAGAAAAAACGAAAAATTAAAATATAATGGTATTTTCGTGAATATATGTGGTTGTAAATATATAGGAGGAAGAAAATGGTATTTGTTAAAGACGAAAAAAAAGATTTTAGATTGCATTTAACTTCAAATTATGGATCATTTGTGAATTCATTTATCTAAATGACTCCTTAAATAATAATATGGAGATACCAAAATTAGTAACACTCATTACAAAAACAATAAATTTATATGCATTGAGATAGTAATCAGTTTAAAGTAAATTTTAGTCATGTATAAATTCTCATCTTAGTTGGACTCTTATATTTTCTTGCTAAAATTTACAATATGTATGTTAAATGGATATTCATAAAGTTCGTATGATATGTAGGTTACAATAAAGTTCCTTTCCATTATATAAAAGCAAGACTAAAAATATCATGAAGTTCCAAATAGAATAAAGTGATCATAAATAGATTTGGTCCAGTAGTCCAAAATAGGGATTACATCATTTGCTCTTTGAACACATCGATCTTTATGGGGGAAAAAAATTGATGTCCAAAAAAAAAGAGAACGTGACGAATTCATCATATACAGAATATCATCCAAATAAAAAATAATTATATATTATGGAAATCAAATCTGATAATACAAACCCACACGTTTCTATTCGCTCCCTACAATTGACTCTCGTTGGATTTTGTTTAAATTTTGTGAAAGACGTGCGTACCTTGGCTACGCAGTTATTACTCTTGGACTGTATTTAATTTATAATAGTAGGCCAAAAATCATACTATTTAATATTCCATTTATACAGTTTATTGACCAGGTACACCCGTGCAAATACTTGCATTTTACCAGTTATGTATGACAATCATCGGTTAGATACTTTATATACACATGGTTAAAAAAGAAAATCTTTAGATAATAACCTTCGTTAAATATTATTATAATTAGGAGAGAATTCGAACTACGCATAGATTTTATTTTATTGTTTTTTGTAAATGAATATGTTTTAAATTTTTAGTTAAACAATTAATTTTTAAGTTTAAATTTTAATATTTTTAATTTAACATAGTTAAATATAAATTAAATAGTATATCTATGTTGTTTAATATATATTTAATTTTATTGTTCTTATTTATTATTTTTCAGTTTTTTTTAAACATATTGTTTTTTTAGCTTCGTAATTTTTTACCATTCTGTATTTGTAATGATTTTAGTAACTTTTTTCATCCATTTTTGTTTTTAAATTTTTTCATTTAAACCTTCACATAACGATAATTTTAAACTTTCTCAATCTTTCATTTTCATATTTTGTAATTACATATATTTCATTGAAACCATCTTTCCAACCAGTATCTTTAAAATTTTTGTATATTTATCTGTTGTCATAAAAAAAAATTCTTTTCTATCAATTGTGTCTCTAGTTTTGATATTCTCTTTTTTATGATTTATTATTATTATTTTGTGTGTTATGGTTTTATAGTTCTTGTTTTTAATTTTTTAGTTTCTTAAAAAAAATTTTAACTATTGTTTTTATTTTTGGTCTCAAAATTTTTTTTATTTTTTTTATTGATTGAATTATCTTTGTTAGTTCACATAAAAAATAAAATAAAAAGATAATCACTTTTTTTTAGATCAAACGAGAAGATAATCACTATGCTTTAATGAAATTTAATTTAATTTTTTATGTTTATGATTTAATGTTTTTATTTTAATATAGTAAAATGTATTTAAATAGTTTATATATATATATATATATATGTTGTTTAATATTAATTTTTAGTAAATGCTGATGTGCAAAAATAAATAGAAATAGACGAATCAGGAGGAGATGGTGTCAACCTTTGGAGAATCCTCTTCAACTATTATATATTAGACTAGAATGTGATTTATGCTACTCATGGATGTGATAAATAGTTTTAAAATGTATGATTAACTAATTGTATTTATTTCTTCTAATTGGCAAGAAAAACATGAAGGAAGACGATAGTGTGCAGCGTTAATGCTTCAAGTTTATTAAGCGTAGGGTGTTATGTATATGGTTAGGGGGAAGAGGAGTATAGATTATATAATGATGCTAAGTATTAAGGTTTTTGATTATTTGTATATTTAATTTACTAATTTGTTGGATTATTTTGGTAACTTACAATTTAGAGACTTGCATGAAGTTTTAGGGTTAGAAGTTTTGGTATGTTTAACTTTTTTTTGGTTGACTTACTTTGGTAAAATCAATTTTTTCTTTTCTTTTTTTGTGTGTGTATATATTCATTTTATTTCCTTTTGTAGAAGGTTGAAGTATTTTCTTTCCTTTTTTTGCCTTTTGAAAACTGCTTCAAGTATTATAGATGTTGCTTTTTGTATATTTGACATTTTTTTTGTTTGATTTAGTTTTGAGTGTGTTATCATTAGGTGTAGTTTTTGAAAGTATAATTTCCAAAACAGGTACTTGTAAGTTTTAATTACCTTTTTTGTTTGTCAACTGAATACTTCATTCATCAAACTGAAATTGTGAGAACCGCATACAAAGTGTTTTTTGCTAAGAAAACAGCTATTACAATAGATAAACTTAGGATAAACTTGAGAGTAGTGAACTCAAATCTTCTGATGAGGAGTGTAAAGTCCTTGAGAAAACCATGAAGTTTTGAAACACATGAGCCTGCGATGATGACTTTAACCAATTGTAAGGATTCGGTTTCAACCGATATTGTCCTTAATTCTTCAGAGGCAGCTTGAGAATGAGCCGTAAGGGTTGCCATCCTTTCTGCCACTAAAAGGGAGGCGAAATCTGAAATTTGAGAGTAGCTACAAGGAGCTTTTTGTCTCTGGTCTTCTCTCCAAAACGCTAAGATTCAGCATGTTAAATTTGTAAGAGTTTCATGAAAGAGTGTGGACACCACAAGCGGAGAAGCTTTGGGTTTACTCCAATAACCTTTGATTTGGCAATTATCATTTGTGAGAGTTACAGGAAAAAGTATAAACAACATAGACAAAAATGCCTTGGATTTACTCATAAAACTTCCCTGCCAGTCAAACAAATCGAAATAGATGCCACAAGAGGGCACATGGGTAAAAACGATGGAAACCATCGTAACAGACAAAACTACAACCAGAGTCCACAAAAACAGCACCATCCACTCAACAAGCACCCAATACCTTTCAGACAAGGAAGAATCGGAGAGTGAGTAGAGGCAAACCTGCGGAATCGGGAAAGGGGATGTGGAAACCACAGGAGAGAAGCACAATGCTCTGACGGTGGTACTGATGGTGGTCGGACATTGGCGAATTCGTGACTCTAAAAGACCCGGACAGCAAAGCGGAGGATGAAAGGAGATGGAGGAGATGGCGACGAACCAAACTCGGCCGAGGCAAGTTAGATCCGGTGGGTCGGGAGGGTCTGGAGGTTCGAGAGGGATGAGAGAAGGGGTCTCCGTGAGCATATCTGGCAGCACGCGAACCGACGGCAGATCTGCAAGAGACATCGAAGCAAGCAGATCTGGAGAAGACATTTGCGAAAAACGAACAGGAAGAGGAAGAAGAAACAAACAACCAGAAAAGAAGAGGAGGGAGAGAGAGGAAGAAATTCTCACCGGCGAGCGTGAGGCTCACCGGCGGTGACGGCGCTAAGATTTTTGGGAACCCTAATCGTCTAAGGGAGGAGAGAACTCCACTCACCCGTCGCTTTGTTACGACCGGCCTTTGCTAACTCCAAACATGTAAGTTTTAATTATCAAAAGACATATTTTTCTTCTATTTGGTTGAGACAAATGACTGTTTTAACATTTTTGCATATTTTCTTCACACACCCTTTATAATTGTTTGTTGTTATTTATCTATTATTTAAAAAATAATCGAATAATTATTTTGACACTATAAATTGTATAATTTTTTTTCTTAATACTTTTATATCCATTTTATATTTTTTAACTTAAATTAGTTTGTCGTTTAGTGATAAACACATACATATCTATATAGTAGCGTCCACGTGGACACAAATATATAGATATCTATGTAATTATATAGCTATATATATGTATGTATACACATATGTATCCATATAGTATTGTACACGTGAACATAAATATATGGATATCTATGCAATTATATATATATGTATATCCATTTACATAGAGTATAGATGGATGTAATTATATAGATACACATGTATATTTATATATATATCCCCATATAGTTACATATATATAGAAATAATTATATAAATATATATGCATATCCATATGTATATATTATAGATGGATGTAACTATATAAATATAAAGTCAAAAATGGAAAAAGAGAAAAAGGAAAAGGACGGCAAAAAGGTTAAAAATAGGAGTAATGTAAGATAAGTCTACCATTTCCAAAAAATGTCTTTTTTGGTAATTATACTTTCAAAAGTAAACAATGGTAATATTCTCTTTAGTTTTCTCAAATAACTATTTATATTGTGAACATTGTGCCATTGGATTTAACACTAACCGAATTGAAGACTTTAATATTTGATTCGGTTATAATTATCTAATTGTTTAGTTGACTTTGTTGGTTTAGTAAATCATTGACAGGTTTAATAATACGGATTTTACATATATATCAATTCAGTGACTAATCGTGCTTTAGGTTTATAAACCAATAAACTCTCAGTTTGGTTTAGAAAATTAGATTTGTAAAATTTTAATCGGTTCGGTGCTGTGATATTTGAATCAGTTCTGTTAAAAAATTAGAATCAGTTCTGCATAGTTGATCAAACTTCTCTTGGTTTAGTGAATTTTTTTTTGTCTAATTGTTTAATTGACTTTGTTGGTTTAGTAAATCGTTGATAAATTTAATATAATGATTCTTCAAATTAATTCTTCAAATCAATTCAGTGACTAATTGATTTATAAGTTATAAACCAAAAAACACTCTGTTTGGAAATCGTTTTAATTTTTTGTTAAGAAAATCGTTTTAAATTCTAAAAAATTAATTGAATGAGATCTCGGTTTGTGAGATCATAAACCAAACAATATCAAAAAAATATAATTTTGGTTTAGTTAATCGATTTTTGGTTTGATTTAAATGAAGATGACACGTAAGCAAATCTGTCGAATAATAATAGAACACGTCATTGTTAAGACTTCACATAATATATAATGATTTGGTTATAATTGTCTAATTGTTTAGTTGACTTTGTTGGTTTAGTAAATCGTTGATAGGTTTAATAATACAGATTTTACATATCAATTCAATGACTAATTGGGTTCTAGGTTTATAAACCAACAAACTCTTGGTTTGGTTTTGTAAATCGGATATGTAAAATTAGAATCAGTTCTGCATGGTCGATCAATCTTCCCTTGGTTTAGTGAATTGTTTTTATCTAATTGTTTAGTTGATTTTGTTGGTTTAGTGAATCGTTGATAAGTTTAATATAATGGTTCTTCAAATGAATTATTCAAATAAAATCAATGACTAATCGATTTATAAGTTATAAGCAAAAAAACACTCGGTTTGGTTTTGTAAATCTTTTAATTTTTTTTTTAAGTAAATTGTTTTAAATTCTACAAATTAATCGAATGAGATCTCGGTTTGTGAGATCATAAACCAAAAAATATCAGAAATTAATTTTTGGTTTAGTTAATCAATTTTAGGTTTGATTTAAGTAAAGATTACACGTAAGCAAATTAGACGAAATAATAATAGAACACATTATCTTTTTCTTGGAGAATCGCTATGAGCTCGCCACATCAAATTAAAACTTCACATATATTATAATGATGACTAATCGATTTATAAGTTATAAATCAAAAAACACTTGGTTTGGTTTTATAAATTATTTTAATTTTTTTTATAGTAAATCGTTTTAAATTTTAAAAATTAATCAAAGGAGATCTTGGTTTGTGAGATCATAAACCAAACAATATCAAAAATTAATTTTTGGTTTGATTTAAGTGAAGATGACACATAAAAAAATTAGAAGAATCATAATAGAACACGTCATTTTTTTTTTCTCCGAGAATAGCTATGAACTCGCCACATCAGATTAAAACTTCACATATACTATAATGATTTTCTAGATATTTTTTTAGATATGTTATTTATTTGATTTTCAAACAAAATAATTTTTATGAAACACAAAAATCAGTAAAGTTATGTATATCTAGTAACCCTATTTTTCACAAAAAAAAAATAGTATGAAGAATTATATCACCACAATACAATATATTTTCACCACATTACAATACAACATTAGTTCAGATTTCATTTCATTTCCTACCCACCACATTACAATGTCGCATAATCATTACAATCAATGGTAAAGAACTTAGATAACTACTCCAATTTGTAAAATCTAAATGCATGGATGCCGGACGATCAAATAGCTATTTAAAAAACCTGACTATCCATACGATCCAAATGTTATACATATTATATTGGAAATCTTTGTTTGATTTATGTAAAACTACGTTGTAATATTTATTATAAAAAGTACATATATAGTGAAAGAAGATTTAAAATCTAAAAAAACTTTTTTTTGAGTAAAAGGTTTGAAGTCTTATTAATTTTCTCTCAGTAAGAAAAAGGATACACCAATCAGTTATACCCTTTAAAGCCATGAGATAAAAATGAAAATGGAGAGAGTCCAAGTGATGAACCGATGAAATTAGTAAATATATTAATCTTATCTTACAAGCATCTCATAGCTCAGTACTTTTCTAATCAACCTGAAATATAAGTTAACTCACGACTAAAAACTGGCCTTTTACGTCCACACAACCTCTATATATACCAAACGTATATATCTACAATAAATACACCAAATGCCCAATACATTTGAAAAAGGAGACCTCATTAATGAATTAATGGCTAAATTGCCATAAATCCTCATTAATGGAATTTACTTACACGCCTCCGTTTTGTTTCCAAAACGCAGCGTTTTGGCGCACTCTTCTCGTATTACACTGTATAACTACACAAGTCTTCACTACCATCTCAACACCACCTGAAGATCCTGTCAAGTGTGTGTCTGGAAATACGAATTGTACGGTCACAAACTCATATGGAGCCTTCCCTGACCGTTCCACGTGTCGAGCCGCCAACGTGGCGTACCCAACAACCGAAGATGAGCTCGTGGCTATCGTGGCTGCAGCCACTAAAGCCGGACGGAAAATGCGTGTAACGACTCGATATTCCCATAGCATCACTAAGCTCATGTGTACCGACGGAACCGATGGTATGTTCATAAGCACGAAGCTTCTAAACCACACGGTGCGAGCGGATGCAAAGGCTATGACCTTGACGGTTGAGAGCGGTGTGACTTTGAGGCAGTTAATCGGTGAAGCGGCTAAGGTTGGCTTGGCGTTGCCATATGCACCGTATTGGTGGGGACTAACCGTGGGTGGTATGATGGGGACCGGTGCTCACGGGAGCTCATTGTGGGGTAAAGGAAGTGCCGTCCATGATTATGTGACCGAGATCAGGATGGTTAGTCCTGGTTCGGTCAATGATGGGTTTGCAAAGGTTAGAGTTTTAAGCGAGACTACGACTCCTAACGAGTTTAATGCGGCCAAAGTTTCTCTTGGCGTTCTTGGGGTTATCTCTCAGGTTAGATTAGTTAAATTTTGTTTTTTTTTTTTTAAGTTACAACTTACTACAAAGATAATTACTATCATAGTTCTGAAACATATTTTATTGCAATTGTTTGAAAAGGTGACTTTGAAATTGCAACCGATGTTCAAGAGATCATTAAGGTATGTTATGAGAAACGATTCCGATTTCGGGGATCAAGCCGTGACATTTGGGAAGAAACATGAGTTTGCCGATTTCATATGGTTACCAAGCCAAGGCAAAGTGGTATATCGAATGGATGACCGAGTAGCGGTCAACACATCAGGCAACGGTTTGTTTGATTTTTTGCCATTCCGTTCGCAACTCTCCGTGGCACTAGCCATCATAAGATCCTTAGGTTCACCTTATTTCTAAATTTTTTATTTTTCTAGTGTTTACATATGACAAAGATAGATAAAAAAAAAAGACCATTATATCATTCTCTCAATTTAACGTTGTTTACCGGAAAAAAATATATATATATATAATCTCCCCTATTTATTAAAGTTAGTTCTGATTTCCTGTCTTGTATTGATTAGAGGAGACGCAAGAGACGTTCAGATATGCGCATGGGAAGTGTGTAGCAGCCAAATTAATTTCATCTACATTGTTTGCTACCGCATTCGGTTTGACCAACAATGGTGATTAAATAAAATTAGTTTCACTTCTACGTGTACATTGTCGTTGATTTTACTTCGAGTATTAACTTTCTTACCTTCATGTTTCAAATATTCACCGGCATTAGGCGTTATATTTACCGGTTATCCGGTCATTGGAAGCCAAAACCGAATGATGTCGTCAGGATCATGCTTAGACAGTCTTCAAGATGGGTTGATAACGGCGTGTGCATGGGATTCACGTATAAAAAGCGAATTCTTTCACCAAACAGCTTTCAGTATTCCACTTACGCAAGTCCAAAGTTTCATCAACGACATCAAATCTCTAGTCAAGATTGAACGGAAATCTCTATGCGGACTTGAGTTGTATTACGGAATTCTAATGCGCTATGTCACATCTTCTCCGGCTTATCTTGGGAAAGAAACAGAAGCTTTAGACTTTGACCTAACTTATTACCGAGCCAAAAACCCACTAACTCCTCGACTTTATGAAGATTTCATCGAAGAAATTGAGCAAATTGCGTTATTCAAATATAAAGCTTTGCCGCATTGGGGAAAGAACAGAAATTTAGCTTTTGATAGAGTTGTTAAAAAGTATAAGAATGCGCCAGCATTTTTGAAAGTAAAAAAAACTTATGATCCGATGGGTCTATTTTCGAGCGAATGGACAGATCAGATCCTAGGAATCAAAGGAAACGTGACGATAATCAAAGATGGATGTGCATTGGAGGGGTTATGTATATGTTCAGAGGATGCTCATTGTGCTCCCAGCGAAGGATATTTGTGTCGACCGGGAAAAGTCTACAAAGAAGCTAGAGTTTGTGAACGTACCGATGGCATAAGTGTGATTCAATATATCAGCAAGTTATTATTCAACATTGCTTCTTATATCAGAAAACGCTTTTATGTGAGGGTTGGTATTTATTATGACGAATTATAGCTAACGTTGTTATAAGTATAAATCTATTATATAAAAGTTCTCATAAACTTGACACATCAGCTCTTCTCTTTATGACACATCAGTTATCAATAATAATAAAAAAAAAATCAGATATTTTGCTGGCTTCTTTGTCTTCTCGAATCAAAATCAAATACAGGTCAACATGAATTTAATTTACAGCGAAAATTCCAAAGCTGGTTTGAATATAAATTTCTCTCTTTGTTATAAATAACTTGTTCTTTACAATCAAATTTCTAAACCATTCGTTCTCTCCTCACATCTCATAATATTTCATCAGATACTCTTAGTCTTCATCCGTCCTTGGATTGTCGTGATTCTCGACCTGCAAGATATCTTGTCATTCGTTCGACGAATTGATGGATGTGATTGCCATATTATAACTCGAATTTGAACTGTCTGAAGAGAATGATGACAAAAGATGAAAAAGGGTCGGGTCTGAGCGTAAATATTTTAGATTATTTCGATTGATGTTCTGTTCATGGCGAAAAGAGGTTTATGTGTGGTTCTTTGGTGCATCTGGATTGTGCTCTATTAGTGTGACGAGATAAACAACGTACGGTTTCAAGTAACGCCTATTATTTGTTTCATGAAATACCTTAGAGAGTTTTACATCAGCATAGACATTATTCTCTAGCTGAGGCTTAGCTTAATTTTTTCAGATTATTGACATTTTTACTGCCAATTGAGTCAAATGCTTGTAACTAACGTTCTAACTATTGATTATTAAGGACTATAAATCAAACAAATTTTTCTATTGCCATATTGCGAGTAATGAGTATTAAAAATTCTATTGTCTTTGGTTTTATTGTAAAGTTACATCATTTCTGGTATCTTACAACTCAGATTTCTTTGTTCATCAATCATTATAAGTAAAGAAAATATTTATAACTAATGTATCTCCTTATATAGAAGTTATCTAAGTTAGATTACTGAACCAAAAAAAATGAAGAGAAAATAAGGGGAGCAGCCGTAAGAGGCCAAGAGAGAGAGAAAGAAAAAAAGAAGAGAAGGAGTCGTGAGAAGAAGAGAGAAGAGAGGAGAAGCCGTGAGGAGGAAGAAAAGAGAGAGAGAGAGTAAAGTTGATTAATGACAAAGAGAAAGAGAGGAAGTAGAGACAACACAAAAACAAGAAAAAAGAGAACAAGTGTCAGGAAATCAGAATCGGAGGCCAGACGTAGCAGAGAAAGAATGAACCATCACCACCACAAAGAAGAAGAGTCGAGACGTAGCAATTGTTATTGTCTAATTAGGTTTTTGAGAAAAATATAAATCCAAAATAGCAAAAGAGTTGTTAAAATGATTTTAGAGACTAATGAATATCCTAATGTTGCAATGATGATTTCTAACGATGTGAAACAAGATTGTGATTAAGAGAGAGCTATGAATTTTTCATAGGAGTTGAGAGAGGTGAAGCACAAGATCGTAATTGTTTGATAATTTTTCTCTAATTTTAATTATGTATGATAGGGATAATCAATAAATTTTTGCATGGTATTAAAAAGTCACTAATTTATATGATTAACAAACCCACATGTATATGCAGATATTCTAGTGTATCTAATATATAAAAGACAATCAATTTTTTGTAGTTGCTTGACACGTCACTGGAGAAAGTTACACGTGTCTTCCCAGAAAAAACAAAACAATTTTCCCATCTCGCCTCCTCCTATCCCTCTAGACTTCTCGCCTTCTGCTATTACCTCCCATCTCAGCTTAAACCCATCGAAAATCCTGTCCCAATTTCTTCTTCCTCAACTTCTCCCAGCTATTGCGGTCCTCTGGCTTGCTTCATCCTCCCCAGCTCTCAATTTTTACGCTAGGTCAGTCTCTCTCCATCATCATGCTTCTTTTGCTGATATCTACTTTCTGATTTCCGGCAAAGTATAAGATATTTGGTTCCATGTTTTCCTAAGTTCTGGGTTGAACTGGTTTTTCGATTTTCGATCTAGGTTCTCTCAATTTTATTTCCACAAGCTTAATTTCAGCGTGGCTTCACAGAAACTGACGACTCACGGTAGCGGTGGATTAAGCACGAGATGACTCATACTTTGAAGCCGGCCAGAGAATTGGTGGCAAATTGGGTTGTTCATCTCTTGGAAAACTACAACAATACCTCCTCATATTTTGCCCACCAAAAATCTTCATCATAATCACTGAAAATGGAAGTAGAAATTGAGGATCGCCGAACGCATAAACCATATGTACGTTTCTTTTGGTTTTGAATTTTCTCATTAATATCTTGATGATCTGCAGTTGATTCATTTCTTTAGTTTTGGCCTGACATTTTGATAGGATGAAGAAACTGATACAAAACTTGCTGCTTCTGGTGAGATGGAACTTAAAATTGCTCCAATTCTCGACAGGATTGATAGCTTCACGCATACTGTAAGCTGTGATGATAATTTCCCTATGTAAACGCATTTTCTTAAGTTCAGGAAGAATTCAATATGCCTATCAAGTTTAGGGTTTACATCAAGTGTCCTTCTTCTGTAAATCAGGGAAAACAATGCTCAAGGAACTCAATAACTAATTTCTCAGAACACATGATCATGTGAGTTTAAATAGATCCTTTACTGTTTTTGTATGTACGATATGGTGAGATGTTATTACATTCCCATGAATATATCATCTCAAACATGATCAGGATACACAAGGAACATGTTGAGAAATGGCAGGAGGAGATCAAGGACTCGCTATCTGATTTTGATCTGGACAGATATTCTTCTTGGAATCTGTCATCACCTATCAAGGCTATCTGCATTTCTCACTAAGTGGAATTGCGATTCCCAGTCTACATGGGGGAAATGCCGTGTTATGAAGAACAACGTGATAGTTACACAACCACAGAAACAGGCAATGCCTTCGACGAGAATTCACAAGAAAATCAAGAGGAGCTACAAGCCGATGCTGGAAACAGAACTGCTTCGAATATAACAACAGAAGAGCCAGCTGTGGTTGACCTCAGAACAAAAAAAAACAAAAAACGGAATAAGCAGACAGTCAGGTGTGTATTCTGGCTTATCGTTTCCAAGATTTTCTTGATTTGTTATCAATAAATACTTACCAATTCTGTTTAAATATATGGCTTGTAGGTAGTCTAGAAAAAAGGTTGGACCTGTAGCACCTTTTATGAAAGAGTCTCTTGCTGAAGCTAAGATAAAATTAGAGCCCTGAACAAGAAAGATAGGGAAAGAAGAATGGCTGAGATAAAAACAATCTTGAATCTTATATTTATGCTACAAAAGAGAAGGTGTGTGCTTTTATATAAATCTCTTATCCCGGCTACTTCATGGTTTTGTTGTTGCTATATAGACTTTTTTTTCTCTATACCTATATATCGTCTCAGTTGGCATTCTTCTCAAAACTCAAAGCTTTGGTTTTCTTTTGGTCATTGTACAGCTAGAGACACCTGAGTTTGAAAAGATATCCACCCAACAAAAGCCAAAGGCGTTTGTTGAGAAGCTCGATGAGGCATGTATTATTTTACTTTTGATCTATATATACCATTGAGTTCCAATGATGAGTGTAAGCTTATTACAGTGAGGAGTGTCTGGGTGCTTTAGGTGCACGCTTAGCTTTACATGGACAGCCAGGATGCAAATGCCACAGAGTTCAAGGAACGGCTTGACTCACTAAAACCATTGGCAGTCCCATATCTTTGCGGTTTGTTCTCTGCTCATTTTTATTGAACTGGAGCTTAATGAACATATTCTTATAAACCATTTGTTATACTATGCACAGTTCAGATGAGCTTATAGCACGGTCAGTAGCAGTATTATACACTTAAAAATACCATATCAAAGTGAAGGAGGTACGCTGACTGACATTCCATGATTTTTGCAGTTCTCTCATTACCAAAAAAACAAAACAATCCGGCTGTTGGAGAATCTCTGGAAGCTCCACTTGTGGTTGCCACTCCTCGGAAAGTCAGCTCCTCTCGGGAAGACGACTGTGATGATAAACATTTTGTATCTGAAACTTTCGATGTTTGTTTTGTAATGAAGTTGGCTTGAGTAACGTTTGACTTCATTGTCTTTATGTGAAGGTTTGTGTTGAAATGACATTTGGCTTTGCTCAAATACGAGTCCTTCAAACAGTGTTTCAGAATTGGGTTGAATGAAATTGGGTATGACTTGGTTTCAGAATTCTTCATGACATATCATACATAAATACATATATTGAACACCAAACTTTAGATTTAATATAAGTTAACGTCAAAAAAAGATTTAATACAAGTTAAAAAAACATACAAATGAGTCTAAGTAACTCTATAGGTAGAAAAAAATCATACAAAGAGGAATTGCATTTACTATAAAAAAACAAAGTTGATAGATAAAATGAGTTTTTCCAGTTTTTCACTCAAATACACTAAAATGACTTTTCATATCATGGACATGCCAAAATTTAATTTTAATATGAAGTATACAAATAATTTAGAAATAATAATAAAAAAATTATAATGATATCATACACAATATAAAGTATATGATATTGAAACCAATAATTATTTCAAAACAAATATAAATTACTCAAAATGTGAAGAAATATGTGTGACTAAAAAATCTCACATTGAAAATAAAGATGCATGGTGACTTGACTTGTAAATATGTCCTTTCACATATTTATTAGATCATAAATTTTAAAATGAAAAGTCAAAATTAATTAATACCACTAATTGTAATATAATTTTTATTTTTAATATTTTTTCATATGTATTTATGTTTTTAACTATTAAGTTACATTAAAATTAAGATTTTTCACATTCATAATAAAAATAAATAAATAATATTCTAAACTTTTGGTATTCATATAAGATCTTTTAATATTTTTTTATACTAACTTGCTATTTTTTCTTTTGACTTATCTTTATCATGAACACTTTTTTTAAATATTGTTCTATAAAAGAATGTTAAGATGTATATAATAATGTAAAGAATGTAAAGATTGTTTTCAAGCAATGCAATCTAAAAAATAAGGTTTTTATCTATGTCTTTTTTTACTCATATCATGTTTATGACTTTTATAATGATAGAATAATTCTCCTACTTATCCTACTTCTAAACCTAGAAGAAAACTTTTTTGATAAAGATTTTTTTTTTTAAAATCTAATACTAAACAGTTAAACAAATTACCATATTTTTATAATTAACTACATGTATATATTAACACAAACATATTTATAAAAATATTATATGAAACAAAATCCGCGCGTATGCGCGGGGTATAAACCTAGTAATAATAATAATTTCAGGGTGCAATAAGATTGGAATTTTCAAAAGGCACTTATCACGATTTTTAATTAACAATATCACTGTGTTTTTTGTTTTGTTAAATTATTGTTACAATTTTCGGTATGTTGGTGATATTTATATGCTCGTACGTACGACAATTTTAGGCTCTATATAAATTATATCAAATAAATATGGACAAGCATTTTGTGTTAGCTTATCCGTTTCTGAATTGGTGACTCGTAGAATGAATGAAATAGAGAAAAACATAGACATACCAATACAGTGCATGACCTTAATGAAAACTTCTACTTCAAAATGTTGAGAGAGTGATATTTCTATAATAAATTTGTAGCTCCTGTCATTGATCTTCGTAAATCTTCTTGAAAACAATATAATAAAAACCCAATTGATGTGTGTATATAGCTTGATAGTTTGGAAATCCAGAGTTTGATTTCTTGAATACTAAGAGATTCGAACACTAATGGATTCTTCCAAGAACCAAGGCTGTCCATAGTTGAGTTTTTAATGCTATGAAATTTGCATGATAATTAGCTAGTTGGATTTTTTGTGTATATAAGTATATGTATTTGATTAAATATTCGCCCATTGAAATTTTCAAGTTACCGTTTACCAAAAAAAAAAAAAAAAAATGCATAAGCCGTCGAGGCGAATATTTTGACTAAAAACATTTAGAAAATAATGAGAAAGAAGAGACGATGCCAGCGGCAATAGGAATACGACAATGACAATAATATGGTTAAGTCCTTTACACCATATGGTACAAATGAAATTGACATGAAAGTCAAAAATTGATGGATCGAATGGGATTAGTCATTACTATTATCTCAACTTTTTCTAGTTTAATTAACCAAAATATTTTTTTATCGTGCTTAACCGGCCTTTTACGCCACATAACCTCTATAAATAGTAAACATGTTTACAAAAAAGCCAATCGCAATATATACATTTGGTAAGATAAAAAAAAAAAAAATACTCAATCATAACCTATGAAATTTGGTTATGCTCCTTCGAATGGTTCCCAAAACGCTATGTTTTGGCGCACCCTTCTCGTATTCTACTATATATTTACACTTGTGCTTATGGCGGTCTCAACACCACCTGAAGATCCTGTCAAGTGTGTGTCTGGAAATACAAATTGCACGGTCACAAACTCATATGGAGCCTTCCCTGACCGTTCCACGTGTCGAGCCGCCAATGTGGCCTACCCAACAACCGAAGATGAGGTCGTGGCTATCGTGGCTGCAGCCACTAAAGCCGGACGGAAAATGCGTGTAACCACTCGATATTCCCATAGCATCACTAAGCTCGTGTGTACCGATGGAACGGACGGTTTGTTCATAAGCACAAAGCTTCTAAACCGCACGGTGCGAGCGGATGCAGAGGCCATGACCTTGACAGTTGAGAGCGGTGTGACGCTGAGGCAGTTAATCACTGAAGCAGCTAAAGTGGGATTGGCGTTGCCTTATGCACCGTATTGGTGGGGACTAACCGTGGGTGGTATGATGGGGACCGGTGCTCACGGGAGCTCATTGTGGGGTAAAGGAAGTGCCGTCCATGATTATGTGACCGAGATCAGGATTGTAAGTCCTGGTTCGGTCAATGATGGGTTTGCAAAGGTTAGAGTTTTAAGCGAGACTACGACTCCTAACGAGTTTAAGGCGGCCAAAGTTTCTCTTGGCGTTCTTGGGGTTATCTCTCAGGTTGGATTGGTTATAATTCCACTTTTTTATTTTTTTTACTACAAAAAGACAATATCGTGGCTCTAAGTCATTTTAATTACAATGTTTTGTTTTTAAAAGGTGACTTTTAAATTGCAACCGATGTTCAAGAGATCATTAGCATATACAATGAGAAATGATTCGGATTTCGGGGATCAAGCCGTGTCTTTTGGAAAGAAACACGAGTTTGCTGATTTCTTATGGTTACCGAGCCAAGGCAAAGTGGTGTATCGAAGGGATGATCGAGTTCCAGTCAACACGTCGGGAAACGGTTTGTTTGATTTCTTGCCATTCCGTTCCCAACTCTCTGTGGCTATTGCCATCATAAGGTCATCAGGTACCTAGTTATCATTCTTTCTAAACTTTTTTTTGTTCTTATGCATTTAGTGAAAATGTAAATAAAGATACAGGAGATGGAACTTACCAAAACAGAAGATCATTTTAGTTTCTATCGGTATATATATGAAACAACTGTACCGACATTTACTGTGATTGTTATACAAAACCGGAATATTTCACTAAAATAAAGAATTTTCTACCTTGTTTTCTTTACAACTCAAACACATATGTCAAATTTATGTTTTTAAATTTGGATTATATATGATATGATACATCAACAACATTAATATACATCATTTTAAAATTCAAATTTTGAGTTTAAATATGTAAAATAAATTATTATGTAAGATTGTAAGAAACACATGTATATGTTTGGTCAATAATTGAAAAAGTGTGCAGAGGTAAATAATAGGTGATTCTTGAATTAGTGTTGTAGAAAATGATAACTCCTGGATCCTAAACCAATATTTATATAGTATAACTAATGTATGGTTGCCAAGAGATTATCAAGTGACGACTATTACAATAATTTATTTTTAAAATTAGCATTTTCTCTATAGATAAAATTCCACACGTAACTTTAATTTTGTTTTCTTGTATACATTCAAGAGGAGACGCAAGAGACGTTCAGAGATGCGAATGGGAAGTGTGCGGGAGCCACACTAATTTCATCTACACTATTTGCTACCTCATACGGTTTGACCAACAATGGTATCTACTTTTTTGTCAATTTACATATATATGTTCAGTTTTTATTATTATATGTTCATTGATTTCACATACAATAATTACTTACTTCTCTCAAATATTCATCGGCTTTAGGTCTTATATTCACTGGTTATCCGGTCATTGGAAGCCAAAACCGTATGATGTCGTCAGGATCATGTCTAGATAGCTTACAAGATGGATTAATCACTGCGTGTGCATGGGATTCACGTATAAAAGGCGAATTTTTTCATCAAACAACTTTCAGTGTTTCTCTCACGCAAGTCAAAAGTTTTATTAATGACATCAAGTCTCTTGTTAAAATTGAACCAAAATCTTTATGCGGCCTTGAGCTCCATTATGGTATTTTGATGCGTTATGTCAGATCTTCTCCGGCTTATCTTGGGAAAGAAACTGAAGCCCTAGACTTTGATATAACATACTACCGAGCCAAAGATCCATTAACACCGCGACTCTACGAAGATTTCATCGAAGAAATCGAGCAAATTGCGTTGTTCAAGTATAACGCATTGCCACACTGGGGTAAAAACAGAAATTTAGCGTTTGATGGAGTGATTAGAAAGTACAAAAACGCACCAGCTTTCTTGAAAGTAAAGGAGAGTTATGATCCAAATGGTTTATTCTCGAGCAAATGGACGGATCAAATTCTAGGGATCAAAGGAAACGTGACGATTGTAAAAGATGGATGTGCATTGGAGGGAATGTGTATTTGTTCGGAGGATGCTCATTGTGCTCCGAACAAAGGCTATCTGTGTCGACCAGGAAAAGTTTACAAAGAAGCTATGGTATGTACACGTGTCAGTGGCATTAATATGGCTCAGTCAGTAAGTTATTAATCTTCAATAATGGCTTCTTACATCAGAAGGCGGTCGTCTTTCTCTTTATGTGTGGGTCAATATTTAGTACGATATGTTGTTTTGTTATAATAAACTATAAATAAATCATGTCTGGCTGCAATAAAAATTGGAATATTGTGAGACACTGAAGCCTTGCAAGCCTTAAAAAGGTTAAAGATTATGTGCATCGATAAGATCTTTAAAAAAATGTTAGCAATTCGTATACTCAATCCGTTTCAAAATAACTAATATTTAATTTATTTTTGCACATATATTAAAAAAATATTTAGGTTTTTTTTTTAAATAAAAACATCATTTATTATCTACCTATAAACATACCTTTAACCAATAATAAAACAAAAAATAGTTATAACACATAAAATTTAGTAAATTTTGCAGTAGAAGTTGAAAAAGATCGTATTATTTGACACATTTTTTTATTTTAAAACGAAATAAGTATTTTCATGAGTATCATGGACTTTGTCAAATTCTTTTGAGTAAATGGAGGTGTTTATTCCTAATCATATAGGAAGGTTGCAAATAACTCTTGATTAGTCTCATACTTCGATTTTGAGCTTTGTTAGATGGGTTAGTGGCTTAGTGGCTCATTGTGATTAAATGGAACACAATTTGGAAGCAACCACCAGCAGTCAACTTAAAGAATAAATACGACCAAAGTGAGTAAAAAAAAAACACGCATTGAAACCAAGTCTTAATGATAAACATCATAACTAAAAATAAGATGAGAGCATCTGCATCCATGACTCTCTAAAAAAAAAGTCTCTCAACAAAGAAATATTAATATTTTAATAGAATTTAGATTTGTTATTAAATTTTAATTTTTAAAAAGGATATAACCAAACATAAATTAAAGGACATATGGTTAGAGAGTCTATCATAACTTCATTATCTCTCTTCTTTTCTTATTATTTTTATTTATTTCGAATGTGAGAGATTTGGTGAGAGACTCCCATTGCAAATGGTCTAAAGTCTCAGAAAAAGAACTCCATATATGGTAAACTAAAAAGTAAAAGGACCTCTCGACTTTTAAATAAGAGAGAACAATATGACCAATGCGCCGCTGATTACAAATGACAAGCTATATATTGGGATCACCGAAGACCCATGGTTCCCTTGAGATGGGCTTGGAGAGCAGAAACTGGTCCTGAACCTGATTGTGTTCCTGATCGTGTTCCAGCAGCAGGAACGGGAGGTGTTGCAAATAAAATAAAATAAAACTAACTAAGCAATAAATAGTCACAAACACATAACTAAGTTTGATACATCTTCAAGTTTTGCAGAATATGCAGAGAGAACGGAGAGAATTCACAAAACTAATCGATATGATCCCAATTCAAAAAACGAAATAAAGGTTTTGACAAAGCCCTTTTCATGTAGTTACACAATTCAAGGCACTAGCTTTAAGATTGATAGTATCGTATTATGTAGTGATGGTCAGATCAAACAACGAATCAGCGTCAAACCATTTGTATTCATATAACATTATGATTAGAGTCGAATCAGCCTCAATCATTTTTCCTCGTCTAACTATTTACTAATTAAGAGGATAAAAAGACCAAATTATTAATTACGATAGCTACCAAATTTTACAATTCCCCTAATTTATTGTTAGAATTAGAACGCAAACCAAAACATATTTTAAGCATAAAAAACAATCAGACATTTTTTTAAACCAAAAGAACTTCAACAATCAGAAAATTGATCATTGTTAATACAAAAGTAAATAATTTTTAGGTATGACCGTATGACAATTGACATGTAAAGGAAAAAAAAATCAAACAAACTAAAGAGTGATTTAGAGTGAAATCAACAAAGAGAAAGACAAATACCTGGCGCACTGGCAGGAGGATTAGTAGACACTGCAACAACAACAACAACAACAACAAATCAGAGATCAGGAAAAAAAACTCATTACAAAAAAATCCAGGAAAACAAAAAACAGAGATCTACAAAAATGAGAAAGAGAAAGGCGAATGAGAGAGAGAGAGAGAGATGAAGAAAAATCTCACATCCACAAGCGGTCACCGGAGGAGCGGTGAGATTGCAAGCGACGGGAAGAGTAGAGGCTTTAGTGACGTTCAGTTTGACTCCAAAGGAGCCACTGTTCTTTAGCCCTTCGCATAGACATTCGACGTTTGAGTCGAGCACCGTCTTCAGACCAGAGCAGCACTCCATGTCTGGTTTATCCACTTGGCTCCCGATTATCACGAAAGACAAACATTTCGCCATGTTCAGTATCATGGCGGAGAAATCGGTGGTCGGTGCCCACTTTCTATGAACAGATGGAGAGGCAACAGAGAGGACAAGAACAAGAATAGATATTCGCGGCGGGGAAGACGACCATAGTGTGATTCTCAGTTTTTTTTTGGTTTATAATTCGTCAGAAATAACGTAATGTGGTGGAACCAAGGCTTGATGTACACTACTATTTATGTGTTTTGTTAACGGAAACACGATGTCTTTTTAGTGTACACGTCATGCGTTTCGTGTGTATCGCATGATTATGGGATTTTTAAATTGATTTATATCCTTTATCCTAAATAAGCTATTTTAATAAAGAAAAAGTATTTGTTTGCAACACGCTTACTTGAAGAGGATACAGACAAAACAGAGATTTCAGTGTTCCTTGTTTTCTTTTTGTTCTTAGAGAGTTGTTGTTACGATGTATTCAAAAGAAGGACGAAGGAGTTGTTTATTTTCTTAAGAGACATCTCGAAGACAAAAGGAAAATGGAAAAGTATGAGTGATTGTCCTCGGGATCAAAAGAACATTAAAGATCTGAATGATGACCACTAATGGAACAATATAAACTGAGAGGGATAAAATCATAGAATTTTGTTTTTCCTTATTGTTCTTTCTCAAATTTGATGAAAAAAATACTGTTTGTTCTATTATTCCCTAAAAAAAGTTGAAATGAAAAGAAATTATATATATGTACATATATAAAAGAAAGTAAACATTTATATAGGATTGAAAAAAAAATCAATGTTCCTTGTTCCTCCACATTTCTGTGGTCGCCAGTGGAAGCCAATATTTTAGCCTAAACATGATTTTCTGATTGCTTATGCTGCAACTATATGGGTAATTTTTAGCATGTTTATTAGTGAAAGTAAAAAGAAAATACAGTATATTTTTAGTTTCTTTCTTAATGTCAAAACTATGACTTCTTCCGATAAAGAAAGAAGGAAACAAATTGATGAAATGAAATAGTTAAAGAATGTCACATATTGTCAATATCTTTCAAGATTGAATCAATATCAGGAGTCAAAACTGCATGCTTGTACACATCTCCAATCAGACAGCAATTCTTCTCATCAGTGTTAACAACCATCACATCTTGTGCAAACTCGCTCTTTAATCCTGGGCTAACCTACACACCCCATTCCGAAATCCCAATTAGACTAGAATGGTTTTACTTTTATTTTCTTTTTTAAACCGAAACCGATTCCAAACCAAACAGAACAGAAAAAGAAACCAAAAAAACCGTACTAAAGTTATCCATACTAAATTTAGTTCAACTAAAGGCTACTATTTTTATAAAACCAAAACCCTTCCAAAAAAGCAAGAACCGATACTTGGAATGAACACCCTTACTAGATATTGGCCTAGTGTTTTGGTAGATCTAGCCTAATCGAATGCTAATCAAAGGGGAAAAAAATAAAAGAGTATGAGAAATCACTCACATCATAAAGCACTTCACCAAGTTTCATCTTGACAGCACCACTTTTGTAGATAAGTAGTTTTCCCATGAAACCTTCTGGCAAGATGGCTTTTAAATCACAAGTCTTTTCAACTCCGCCTTTGCTGTTTGGCTTTGTTTCACGGTTTTCTGTTGTTGCTGACTGTTTTACCAAAGGAACAGAAGGTAACCTCATAAAAATCATTTTCTGTTCACCACTATCTTCCTGCCAACAAGTAATGCAAAAAATATGTAAATATGTATGGAGTTTCTAAATTTAGTGTGTGACTTTTGGTTCTCGAATTTCTTTTTGGTACTAACCATCAGACCAAGATTAGCGGCAGTGTTAAGTGAATCTTCATGATTTCCCACAGTCTGCATAAATTCCTCCACATCAAGGAGCTCTGCAAAAATGAGCAGCATCTCAAACATATAAGTAAAATGCTAATCAAGAACATGTTTCTTTTTTCTTCTCAACCCAAAAAAAAATTATATGTAAACCTGGATCGCCTGCATAGGGTCTCCTCAACGGAAGCGTGATTGGGTAATAACTGTAATAATCCTGTGAGGGATCCAAGAACAGTAATTATGCATTAACATCGTCAGTATATAAGTTGGAGATCATATAACGGGTTACTGTTGTTATACTGACCCATGGTTCTTTATACTCTATCTCCTGTGTCGCGTTTGAGCCAAAAGCACCAGCTACACAAGAAACATCATGGATCAACAATCCACGCAGATGGATTCTGATTATATACAAAGAGTTGCTGGTTTAAGAAATCAAAATGCTTGCTACCTGATCCATTTAGGTACTTATCTGATCTCGTGGAATTTACCACACCTCCCATCCAAGCAACTTGAGAAGCAGGAACTGTGTTTGAAAGAGTGTTTTTACTATCAAGTAGTTTGTAGCAAACAAGATAAGATTAGAGTCAAGTTTCAAGTTAAAGATATAACCTTTCTTTTCCCCTTTTGGCTTGCGCAAAGATCTTTCCTAAGGCAAACAAAAACAAAATCCAGGAAAACAGCTTGAGAAAACAAGAAGAAACAAGAGTCAAAGCGATTTCACTCAGTGATAAATAAAGCTTACAGTTACTCTGCGTAGCAACTCCGTGGCTTGTGCACTATTATTATCATCCTCAACCACTTCACTGCAGATATTCGAAATTCAAAACTTGATTTCAGAAGCCAGATTGACCAAAGAACACGTTCGCTAATGCTTAATCAGATCAAAATCAGATCAGTGTTAATAGAGAATTACTTACGGTTTAACTTCTGGTTTTGGCACACGTTTAGGGGGAGCTTTTGGAGCAAATTTCATCTGCAGAAGAAAACACGAAAACGATAAACTCAGCAGAGCCAAAACTTAATCTGGCAGAAAAGATTGTAAATAGATGATATCGACCACAAACCTTCCGTGCTGGTGGTTTCTCCTCCATTGCAATTCAGTTTATTCTAACACTTTGACCACCTACAAAACAAAACTACTGAAGAACATTCAGTTACGAGAGTACGAATATTTAAATTTTATATCTTCAAACTCACAGAAACTTTACAAATTCAGAGAACTACAGTTTCAGAACCAGAAAAAAGTGATAGAATCAATAGTTTCAAAACCTGACCTGCGACTCGAAGACTGGTTGATCGCCGATCGTTGAGTTCACTGACGGTGAACAATGAGCCTGAGAATGAGGATGAGGATGATCGGCGATTAAAAGATGACACAAAATTAGGGTCTTTCGGTAAGCCAAAACGGTAACGTTTTCAGCATAACTCGTGGGGAGAAATTAAACCGGCTTAATTTAACGAAACAGTCGACTTGCATTGAGAATTTAAGATGTAAACGGATCAGGCCTATTAATGTAGTGTAATGAATTCATGTTATATCATCATGGTTTATGTCTAACCAGAAACAATTGTATAGCCAATAGCCATAGATTTCTTTACAAATTTTAGTTAAAGAAAGGTCGAGGAAATATTGAAGATAAATCGCATAGATCTTTCTTGTTCCTTGATAATAGTTTCTTCAAATCCCTTCTCCAATCTTGAAACATGAATTTTCACTAGTAGACTTTCCAAGTCTGGGAGAGGATCCATTGCGTTTTTTTTGGTAGTTTTCTTGGCTTCTTTGATAATGTTTTTCACAAGGATGCTTCCCATTCTGAAACAGCTTGACTTAAAACACCATTCCACTAGGAAACTTGCTCTCTTTGTGATAACCACCATAAATTCAAATTTGATATTTATTAGAGAAAATTCCATATAAAGTCTTTAACTTAGTTTTTATAAATTTTTAAAATTTTTATTTTCTGTGTCCAGAAAAAAACATCAAATATTTTTTCTATCCATTTTAAATCCTCAATTGTTATTTGTGTGATCATTTTGCTTCAATTTGATTTAAGGATTTTGCTTCAATTTTGTCGGGATTAGGTTATATCAAGTTTTATGTTAACCATTACTTAACCACGTCGAGTTACTTTAGTTGGTTAATTAACGGGATTCGAACTGACGTTCCCATTTTCGTTTAGACATAATAAGGGATTTGCACGTTTGAGCCTCAAAGAAAATCAGCCTCAACCCAACCAAGGAGCTCAGAACATCAAGAATCTCGAAGAGACCGCCTCAAATCTCCAAGATACACCAGTTTTAAGCCATGAAGCCGATAAGGAGCATTTGGATCAAGAAGAAGGACATGAAGCTGGCCACGTAGGAACACTCAAAGATCTCAAGGAAATCGACTTCCATGGACCCCAAAATCTCAAGGAACTCGAGTAGGAGTTGATCAGGGAAAGCAAAGTTGGGCTAAGAGAAAAACTTTGGTCGAAGCAGAAAGCAATTTGCTCGAGCAAATTCAAAAATTGTCCGAGACAAAGAGTTTTGGCCGAGAAACGCTTTAACCGGAGTTGGCAAAAAATTGAAGATTTACCAAACAAGGAGAAACAACCTGGAAGAGATAAAGTAGGGAAAAATAAGAGCTTTGCTCGAAAAAGATGAAGAAAAACTCGGACAAATTTCAAATTGGTTCGATGGTGAAGGATTTGGCCGAATATTAGCCGAAAACCGTAGAAAAACAGCTAAGTGTCACAAGAAGTCTTGAGATTTGATCCGAAGGGATAACAGAGGTTTATAACCGAGAGGAGAAGGAAAAAGCCCGGAGACAAGAAAATCAGATGGTTCAAACTTTTAAATGTTAAGTTCAGCAATTGCATCGACGAGGAGCTTTTTTTCCCATCACTTTCCTTTTCAAGTAATATCTCACGAGTTCAACATCAGTCGGATGAAACCGAAATCCAGGAGCCAGCTGAGTTTTCCCCATTGGCTGATCCAAAGGGGAAAACTTGCACTCTCCTCGGGAAACTCCTCACCAGTGAATAAATGGGAGTTTTGTGCAGACAGGTCACGTCACAGTAACAGGAACAGCAGAAGCGCATACTTTTTAATCAAAACAAGTAGAAAAGTTGCAGAGAAGCCAAGAAGAGAAGAGAAGAAAAGAGAAAAAAAAAAGGAGCACTAGACGAGGTGAGAGAACGACTAAGTCCAGTGCTCATATAACCGGAGTCGCACCAAAGGAAAGATGGATTCTTCTTGCAGAGATCAACAGACATCTGGTGTGAAACGTAAAGTCTGCTATTTAGACATCGCAACACAAAAAAAAAACAAAGACTTGAACTACACGACCAACTAGAAATTAAAACACACAGCAGATGTCAAATGACAAATCATCAATTTGGTATCAAATAAGCGAGCAAAACCCAGAAAGAGTAAAACCCTAATTATGAATCTAGATTCAGATCAGGTCCAGAAATCACAAGAATAAGATCAAAAGAGATAGCAACCCAATTTCAGGACTCAAAAGGGAAAACGCAAACCGACGACAGCATTAGGAAAATCAGAGCGGAAACACAAAATCAGCATCGAAACACGGCGGACCAGACCAGAAACAGGGTAGGAATATCATACCCGGAGAGAAGAAAAAACTCGATGGTGGAGATGACGATCGGCGCAAAGGGAGGCGGGCAAGAGAGAGAGAGCGATGAGAGAGTGGCGTAAAAGAGAAGCGCCAGAACTGAGAAAAGGGTTATAACTGTCTTAGAACAAGTCCATTGGTGAACCCTTTAATGGGCTTCATCAAATTTTTTTAAAAAAAAAATTGTTTGTTTAAGGTTCGGGAAGAAATTGGGTGTGTAATGTGGTTCTAATAGTGAATCCGAGAATGGGGTTTATCCCGAAATATATCCATTCTCTCCTTGGCAGTCTATCAATATCTTGGCTTGCGTTGTAGTAGGACTGAATCCGCTTCCAGAACGATCCAGCACGCTGTTCATTACCGACTATCGGGTCTTTGCTGGTGTTTAGCCACGCACTTATGATGACTAAGTCTTCCTTCGGCGACCAGATTTTCCTCTTCAGTGCAGTATCAGGAGGATCATCAGATCCTTGTGTACTAAACAAAGGAATGTCTGATGATCCAACTATATCTATGCAAGGCGAGTACGAGTCAGGGTTTAACTGACTGGTTAAAAGGTTGACAAACCTTTCAGAGTATGTAAAAGAGTTCTAAGAATCCATAAAAGGATTCAAAGAAATGAAAGGGAGTGAAAGAAAGAAAGAATGCAAGAGAGTAAAAGAAATAAGAGAGTGACAGATATTGAACAAGGTAAACAAAAAAAGAGAGTGAAAAGAGTGAACGAGGGTTTTTAATTGAGTTAAAGAGAGTGGAAAGAAATAAACGAGTGTTAAAGAGTTAAAGAGAGTAGAAAGAGTGTTAACGAGGTTAAGATAGTCTTTTAAAATTTAAAATATGGTTGAGTATCTTTTAAATTATGGTTGACAGTCTTTTCTGTGTCTTTATGAGTGAGTCTCTTTTAGTTTTAATGACATAGTAGTTGATAGTCTTTTAATCAGGGTTTTAAAGTTTTCGAAAAAATTGTAAAAAATTTCGAACAGGTTTAACTACCATTTATCACACAACCTAAACCTAACATGTCATATCAAGCATTCATAACCACTCTTAAAGCTAACAACACAAATGTAGCCATTTACCAACCACATTAAACACAACCAGACTAGTTACAAGAGAACTAACCTTTACTGGGTGAGCCGTATGCCTTCAAGTAAACCATGTTCCCTTGAAGTCCATTAAACGTTATCCTCACAAAAAAAGATTAAAAGACCCCATTAAAACAACTACATTACTACAGCCGAATGCAACTAAACATAACCCTAAACAACTACATTACATGAGCCATTCCTAAACCCTAAAGATATACGCAATAGCTGCAATAACACTAATGTAAATCAGCATCGACAAACGGTCACCTGGAGTACCAAGCTGCTCCTTCAAACCCCGGACTTCTCCATGAAGCCTTGCTAGCTCTTCACGGAGTTCTCCTATGGCTTGATCGTCACCATTGATTCTACTCCGATCAACACTGAGGATCAGGGCCATCTGGTTTTCTATCCTGGTCGCGAGGATCTCGCACTGTTCTGTAACTGCGTTGTCCCACCATTGGTGCATGTGATCAAAAGTGTCCTACATTGATGACAAACTGTTAGCAAAAAATGCATGAACTCGTTGAACTTCAAACCCGAATAAATAAAGACCTGAAGAAGACAGAAAAATTATCTCGTTGATCCATTCCGGGTAAGCATAATACTTGCGACCGGCTGCGTTTGCTTTGAACTTGGTTACCCGGCCACAAAACACTTCTCGGGTATGCCATAAGTGGCATCCGCGTAAGCCCAGTAGGGGACCTCCTCCTCATAAGAACCGCTGCTGTAGCTTGGCATTATCTGTCCAAAAAAAAACGATCAGTACGCTACAACATAAACATACACATCAGAAGTAAACATCAATCATGTAAACAAAGATATTACCAAGTTGTCTACACTACAGATCATGTAAACATCAAGAACATTTCAGTTCATCGTTGACAATGGCAAACATAAGATGATCATATCATATCATATATATCTAACATGATACATAATAAAACATCTAAGCATATGTACCCGATGAAACGTAATCATCTTCGACAATGGCATATGAACTCACATATGCAACACATAAATCAACACAGATTAAGATCAGTACGTAATTATGTTTACAATGATTTACAACACAGATAACAACCTAAACATACACTTCACAATTATGTTTATCTACTAACACTACCGATCATTAAACCCCAAAGATATTATCTACTAACACTACAGTTCAGTTCATCATCGATAATGGCAAAGGAAATATGATCATATCATATCATATATATCTAACATGAAACATATTAAACATCCAAGCACATGAACCCGATGAAACATAATCATCTTCAAATATATTCAACACATAAATCAACAAATTGCAAAAACCCTCATTTCATCGATACAAAATTCAACACGTAAATCATATACCGTGAAATCGTATTCAAAATAGGGCTACTGCAGTTCAGAATCAATGTATTACACCCAATTAGACCCCAATTGCAACAACAAATGAAAGCCCAAATTTCCCCCAAATCACATAAACCCTAATTTCACCGATGTAAAATTTATTTCGAATCTTCCGAATACAAGACGCATAATCTATTTTCGGGTTTCAAATAGGTCCCAGGACTCGTAATCCACCCTATTCCCCCCAAAAAACACCCGATTAAGCACAAAAATGTTTTTCTCCAAAACATCGCAAACCCTAATTTCTTGAAATCGAAACGAAAACAGCTGAAAGATGATAACAGAAGCTTACCTTGACAATATGAACGGTTGCCCGATCCTCGGATGAGCACTTCACCGGGAAATTTTGCCGGTTTCGACGGATCGAACAGGTTCGACGAGAATCGCCTGGAGAAGGGGAAGAGAGAAAAGAAAATAGTCGGGAAGAAGAATGATTTTTGGCCCTTGATTTTTTTTTGCTTCCCAAAAATTACCCCAATTACTCGTCCACTCACGTTATGCCACGTCGATAAGAGGCGGGTTCATCAGGGTCGTCCGGATGAACAGATCCGTCGATTTTGGGCTTTAATTCTTTTTTTAAAACCCATTAAATCCTATGAACTCGAGCCTCATACCTTCGACGACCCCGCGATGGACATGCTCTTATGGGTTTATACATAATGGAGCTCCAGACCCTATGCGTTTACTAATAAGATATGTATGGGCCCATTTTTAATCGCAGTCCTACAGCTGTAATTTACTGTTTTTTTCTTACTCCTTTTATATTAGAAATTTTTTTTTTATAAACTATTTATTCAAAGGCTTTCTAAACCCAAGACTAATCACTAACTGCTCAACAACTGGGATACACGTCAGCAATTTTCTGATTTAATCGTGGAAGGGGGGTCAAGCGGATTCGAACCCAGGACGGTAGGACACATACCCATACCACTGGAATTCTCAAACCACTGGGATACGAGCGCTTGGATTATAATCTTTTTTTTCAGTCAACTTACTTGATTCACACTATTTTTCTCTGAATTGGTAAAAAAGATTATATATTCGTGAAATTAGTTTAGAATGAAACGTAAGATGATAAAAAACACATTCATTAATCATTTTTGAACCTTGAAGAATTATGAAAAACAAAAAGTAACAGTATACATCATCTTTGAACCTTAAAGAAAGGAAATGGAGGAAAGAGTAAAACCAAACCCAATCTTCATTGTACAAAAATATGTATATAACATAAATGGTAAAAGTAAACTAATCCACCAATCAGAACTGAGGTTATTAGCTAACAAGGTAGATCACGAGGAGGCTTGACCAGTCGAGATGATTTCGTCGGTCCATTTTTCACTATGAACACTGCATTCATTCCCCATGTTGCATCTCTCTATATGACAATGCAATAAACAAACCCCTATATACAACCATATAATAACAAAAACTGATCTGTAATGTAGACCATGAAAAACAAAAATTAAGTACTGCCTTTCCAATAAATTACATGCAACGTTTTTATATCTAATTCCACGTTGAGAAAAGTAATTAACCAAATGTACAATATGTACTGACCTGGATTATTAGCTATGAATCTGATGGCGGCGGTCTAGATGTTACGGGGAACTCCGACGGTGGTCTCCTCCGGTGGATCAACTAGGTAATACCTCAAGGGATCCTTCCGGCGATCAAAATTTCTCGAAACCCGAACCCAGGACATAGAAGCTATAACCATGGAGATGGATCGGATGATTATCCAAGGCCAACACGTTCGTCCTCTGCAAAACCAGCTCGACGCTCGAATTAAAATCGAGAACCACCACTTTCGTTCCGAACCTCGTCAGAAACGGGAGATTGTCTCCGGGGTAATTTAATTTCATCGGCGGATTTCTCGGGAAATCCTCCTCGAAAACGCCTCCGATGAGGCGATAATAGGCTCAGAGAATGTCGACCGATGGGTTTACGAAGCTGATGTTATTAACGCTCGACGAGAATCCCTTCCCGAAAGGGCCGTTACAGGGTTTATCGTCGGAACAATTCAGCAAATTCACAGAGATCGCGTAAAGAAGATTAGTGTCGATTTTAACCGGAACGTTACCAGGTCGAAGACTTTTTAACTGGTTAGTGAACCGAGTGGTTGCCTCTGGTTGATTGTAACTTTGTAAGGAGGCAAATTGGGTAAAACCGGGTGGTTTTGGTTTAATTCATCGGTTAAGGAAACACCTATGTATTGTAAGATGGCTGTAGTGGTGGTTTTGTCAAATCCGGCACCAAAGGCGGAGGAGTAAGCTCGAGCCGCCAAAAAATAACGACCAGACCGCTAATTCGCGTCAAGGAGGGCGTCAATGGATTGGCTTGGAGTGATCATCAGGTTACTAGTGTTGAAATGTTTTAAGTAGAGACCGCCTTTGGCCACAACGATTAAGGTGTCGTTTGCGATTGCAAAGAAGAGTTCTTCGTCCATCACCTTGTTGATAATTCGGAGAAGGTATTGGCGACCTGGCACCACCTTTATTGTGAATGTATCTGTTTCGAAATTACAAAATCAATAATCTGAATCTGTTAGTGTCAAAAATTATTGGGGTTCTTTCATATATGACCCATAAATTGAAGTCAAATGC